GAAAACTTGAAGATCGTCTCTAACCGAAATTAAAACTAACCATTGGACATATATACAGTATATATGAAAATGTCGATCAATACTGTCATTTGATTCGGCCAACTATAATTATAAAATGATTTGAATCCTATTTAAGACGCACATGGAAAATCTTGCACCACCAATTATACACACATAATAAGATTTTAATTGATGATATCATAAATTTTATTTTTAAAACAAAAATAAACAAAAATTGCCAGTTTTCAGTAAATTACTAAATTTACAGTCAAGATGTGAACCCCCTCGACCAAAAGTAAGATGTGTGACCAATTATTTTTCCATTTTTACAACGAGTTTTTTTTGGCTTAAATCAAGTTCCAGGATTACATGAATTCTGGGACGGAAAGTTATTCTTTAAATCGGAATATCCAAAGATTGTCTCCGAATACCGAAAAGATTATGAACCAAAGTTTCGAAACTCCCATGGTTTATATAAAAAAAAATTACACGAATCTTGTTTATTAATGCAATAACGACACGATAAAGTAACGCGGTTTTTAAGAAGAGAAAATAGTTAGTACAGATTTAAACATGAACAACTCAAATTCTTAAAAGGAGTTTCGTCTTTTGTGAGCAGATGTGAAATATAAATGACGTTAATGCTTAAATTTGTCGGAGAATTGGGATCATGAGCCACAAATTTTGCACAAATTAGCGTAGTAATTAAGTAACTTTGGCACATATTATACAGAACAAAATATTTAAACATGTAATTATAAGACAGGACGTGACTATAAGTCTATAACACTATCTTTCTTTCATAATTTGTTGCGTACCAAATGTTTCAAGAATTTGTAGACTTCGATCTTCTTCCACATATAAATATAATATTGTTATTTGTTACCTACAGTTTACACTGCAATGTTTATAGCTTTTTCTTTCATAAAAGAAATAAAAATCACTAAAAGATAAATTTTACAGGATGCAACCGTAAAGTAGTTAAATCGGTTGAAATTGGATATCATTTTGTAACTAAATAACTAATTAACGAGAAACTTTTTGTTAAGAAATTATAGGAAGTAGACCTTGTAACATGAGCCTTTGACTTTTTAGGTTAGTTAACAC